TCCTAGCAGCGCGAGCAGGATAGGAGGGGAAGTGTTGTTAAAGAAAATATTACTTGTTTGGGTTTTTTTTTTTTCATTTTCCGTGGAGGTGTTTACTGCTCTGTGTTTGCTGCGCTGCCCAGGGCACTGTCAGAGCAAACACTGGCCGTGGAGCAGCGTGGGCGAGTGACAGAGCCCATCTTGCCCCTGTCACAGTCCGTGGGTGCCCCACGGCCCAGCCCTGGAGGGGCTCCTGCAGCTCGTCCCCCTGTGCGAGGACTGGGTGCACTTGGAATAATGAATAATGAACAGTTTGGGTGCTCAGGGGTTGGCAGTGCACGCACGCCCCTCCTCGCATCATTTGCTGTGCGTTTGGTTTGATGTCATCTCTGGGATCGCCCAGAGAAGTTTGAATGGATGTGCTCCGGTAAAAGGGGTGGTTTGGAAATTCAGGAAGCACCTTCCTGATGTGGCTGAAGGGTTGGTAGCAGAAAAGTTCGGTATGCTGCAATCCACATGAGGAATACGGTGTTACAGAGTATTTGATGCTCTTTAAAAGCTTAAGTTCTTTACTGGTGCTGACAAAAGTTACAGTGATTGCTGCTTGTTCTGAAAGGTTCTGGTTATGAAGTAAAACTTAATTGAAATAGTAGCTTGGAGTATGGACTCTATTAAATGGACTGAAAGAGAATTAATGCAGTTTTTTAGAGAAGGCTCATTAGTACATGGCAAGGGTAGCACTGACAGAGTTCTTAGCAATTTGCTTGACTGGTTCGCCCTAAGAAGCAATAAAAACACTTTGTAAGAATGAAATACCTACAGAAAGTCCACGTTTTGATTGTTTGTATTCTTGATGTGAGGAATAGTCTGTAATGGTGAGGGCCCTACAAAAACTTGCATGTCTGTTTTTTTGATATATGCAGATAGATGGGTATAAAGAGTTGTCATTTTTTTTATTTCCTCTCTTTATTGTGATAAAAGTTGCATTCCTCTGCATAATAACATGTCCCAGTAAGATTATGGTCTTTGAGTCACTTGGCAGTTAGTGCCCACCTGGAATAGTCTGGTTAAGACTGTCGTAAATCTGTACAATTTGCTTTTTATGTCATCTTGAGCATGAGATGTCATGATAAGTCTTGTCCCTACGTAAATAAATTTGAAATTCATCCACGCTGGGATACATTTATCGTCAGAGAATGTGTGTCCACTTACCTTGTGCTTATTTAAGCATTATCATAATAGATCAGAGGCTCTTTTATTTGAACCCCAGATTCTCTCCTCCTCATGTTTTTATAGATGCAGATTATTGGGATGCCAGTGAGGAATACTTTTTAACTTGTATTCATATTTGTCACAACCCTGTATTTTTCCTGACCATTTTGGTACAATCACCTAATTAGCTGTAGTGCAGTGGCACTGAGTGACTTCAGTCATTAGGTTCTTGCAGATGGAAAAAGACTTTTTTTAGCAGATGAGAAAATTCCTGAGAATTGAAGCCGTTGCACAATAGGACTGCAGGGAAAAGCATTGCAGAATTTTGACATACAGGTGTGCACACCAACAGTCTCATAGTTTGATTTTGAAAATTAACTTTGTTTCATCACACATTTTTTGTGGAGTTTTGTTTTTTTTTTTTTTTAATGTGTTAATAGTGTGTCATAAGTGGTATAACTACAATTCATTTTATCTGAAATCCAGAAGTCTTTTGTGGGATGAACTTCAAATTAAATTCTTCTGGAAGTCCGTGTTAAATTATAAATTTGGCTAACAGAGCTATGCTTTTAAATTTTTTTTAAAATACATATTTGTATTTTCTTATTTTGATTTTCCCTCCATTTATATTTTGATTTAAGTGACCAATTTTCTGAAGGATTTGAACATTTCAAGTTAGGTGACTTTGTCAGTGGTAAAACAGTGTACATCTTCCCCTTGTAACATCTTGCTGTCTCTACAGCAGTGTTTTCCCTAAACATGAAAAACTGTTTTGGTTCCTTGCTCAGCCTGTGGCTTTTGTCTTCTGGTGCTGTGCTGTTTACCACAGCATCCTGGTAATTTTACAGAAAACTTGTGGCAGCACCTGCATGCAGGTCCTGCTGCATGTCAGGAGATAATAAAGCTTCAGAGAGTAAATGTCTGTAAGCCT